TATATATATATCAGCAAATGCATGAAAAAATAAAAAAAATTTTGACCAATAAAATTTTATTTCCTTATTCGGATACGTTAAATTGGAAAAAAAATTATTTATTTTTTTTTTTTCAGTTTTGAAATACAGATACAGAGAGGATGTAACGCTAAGATTGAAGACCCAAAACAGGGGTTTTAAAATTTACGGTATTTAAAAAAACTCAGCTACAAATATTCTAACATTTCAAAATCCCGATTGCTGTTTGAAACGGCATCGTTACTTTGAGCATGCAAAGCTCTAAGAAAACTGGGAAGAAATTGCACATGACTATATATTAGCTTTATTAACGTCACATTTTGGAATTATACTATATAATTTTAACTAAATTACTCTAATGACTAATGTTTGACCTTAATTAAATGACGAGGGTGACACTCGAGCTGCACAGAATTATGCGAAAAAAATGTACGAATTGAATGGTTTCAATATGAGCATCAGATTTCACATGCAATGAATAATGGGGTTTCACGCAATTTATTTCAATGGCGTTGTTGCCACATTAAATACACTGAGGGAAATTAAATTCCCACTCCCAGGAAGGAGTTGGTCTAAGTAAACGAAATTTGCCAGGCCTGTTTATGCATCCAAAAGATTACTTTGATTGAAATTTCGCGCTAGTTGCATGGGGTGCTAGTAGCTCCATTTTAAGCATGCGAATCCCGATGTATTTTTAATGGGTTTTAAATTTCATGGTTAATTTCCGTTAGTCTGACTTAGGGAGTTGCTGTTAGTCAAGATTGTTTTTAAGAAGACGAAGAAGCCATCATCAACAGCTCACTGTTTGGGAAAAAATCCGGGGGGGGCTAAAAAAATGGATTTACTTTTCCGCGTTTTTCAGAAAAAAATTTGGGGGAATGTATCCACTGTGCATTATTGTTAGCATCAGTGGTCCTGGAAAAGGGAAAAAAGAATCGGGGTGCCCCTCGAGGGGGTTTCCAAATTTTACAGTGAAGACTATCGTGTCGCCAAATGGCTTTGGTGTGGAGCATTGTAGTGTATCTACGTAAGAAATTACAGCTTTAGTTGACACTAGAGTGACAGAGTGCAAGGTAACAAATGTATCTCTTGGGAAATAGCTTCGATCCAGACGTCCTGTAGTATTAATACCATTAGCTCAAAATCACTGACATCTGCGACTTCAGTGATGTTGTACTAAAGCTCATTGAAGAGTAGAGTTGGGATGTGTTGCGTTCTCCAATAAGAGCATTTTCTGTCTTGGTGCCAGTGATGACCGTATATTGATTAGAAGAAGTCTAGGTCACAGCTCCTGCAAACTACTTTCCTGTGGCATACTGGACTTTCACCTGGAATTATGGTCTGAAGAGAACTTTTCTATGATAGCAAGAGCTCTCGTGATTATTCCACACAACCTGACAACAAATTTGTACTTCGATTTGATGATCCAAACTGTTACTCCGTCTTTTGTAATTACTATTCGAGTAAATGTTTTTCAACAAGTTAAAGGCACCCTTATAACCTTATTGTAACATAATATTCTCTAGAGTCGATATGTTTTTTGGCCTGCTAGATCATCAGATCTTTCTCCATTTGAGCATGAATGGGACGTATTGAGGGGCCCCCGTCGACCAAAACCCAAATTAAAACTCTCTTATATCGACGATGGCAACAAGCATGTTGTTGATTTAAAAATTTTCGATTACATTATTTTTAAAGTCAATTTTTTTTAAAAAATCCCTTTCGGCGCTTACATTAACCCGGGAACTTAAATTTTAAACATTTAAAATTTACCTTTGAAAAATGTATTGCCGAAGTTAATTTATCTCAATTTTTTTTTCCTTTGGGTGCTGAGACTTTTACAGCGTTTTAAAACTTTTTTTCCAGTGCATTGATATTTATTTCGTTTTGACTCAATATTTTGAATTTGAACGTGAAACAGTAAATAAAAATAAACTTTTTCTTTGAAAAAAAAATAAATGTTAGAAAAGGAGGAAAAATCCATTCAAAAGGATTAATGTATTTCGGGGGTATGCTGTTCTTTTTCTTAGTTCAGGGGTACTAAACCTTTTTTTCTGTTGGGTCTCATACATACGTCACTATTACACGCGGGCCACATACATACGTTAGTTATTTCACGCGGGCCGCTATATGGTGATAAATAGGAGATGCGGGGAAAAGCTTTTGACCAAATAACATTGGGAAAATTTTAAAAAGTGGGGAAAAAAAATCAAAATATTATAACTCCCGTTTTGCTTTTCTTAATTATAATTTTTTATATTTTATTTTTGTCGCTATTACTAAACTAGAAGCTTTTTAGAGACACTCCTCTCCACAATTTCTGCATCAGTAAACGGTTTCTCATGATTAATAATAATAAAAAAAAAGGGATATTTTCTTTTTACCTCTGTGATATTACCCGACAAAAAAACTTTTTTGCTGTTGTAAAGTTTTTTAAAGAAATTTATTTATCACCTCTTTAAAAAAGGGTCTTCAGGAAAAATGTGATTGAAGATTTCTGTATGTTGGTCTTTTAAAAAAACAAAAAATTTAGTGACAAATCAAACAATTACTGATCCATATTTGTTTTTACTAAAAATAGTTAACCTCCCCCGCGTCTTATTAATTTTTTTTGAATATTTTTTGGGTAAAAGGGAAAAATACACTCACTTTTTTAAAAATTAAGACGGAGAGGAAAATGCTAATTTCCGAAACCAATTAAATTGAAAAGATGCAATTCGCGCAGGGGTAAATCGAAGATCAAATATGTTAGGGAACAGCCTCATGCTTTTGCCCCGAAATATGGGGGGAAAGGGCAGTCTTATAAGAAGCCAGCTTCTTTGATTACAGAAGTTGATTGTGGCTGATAAAAAGGTGGAAAAATTTCGACAGTTTGGGCCCAAAACATAGGTTTATTGATTCCGAAAACGTGGAAGATTTTTGGCGTGCTGTGGGGAAACAGGGGGGCCGATCACAGATGTTGTTTATCTTCGGCGTACATCATTCTGTAACTTCACGGAAAAAATTCCAAACCCACAGACAGTTATCCGAAGGCCCCTAGGGGGTCGCCCAAAGGGTTACAATCCCCGCGGAAATTCGAATTTTTTTATTGGATCAAGTGGAATCGCGAGCGACCTCCCACGTGTGACATCTTTTTGGTTACAGTGTCCCTTGGTAAGGCTATATCTGCAGCTACTGTACCCCCCCAAAATTACATATGAATGGACTGTATCCCGGTACCTCGAGTTTGTGTTCCCCTATCCGCCAATCAAGAGGGGGTTTTTTAAAATTACCGGAACAGGCAAAGACTGTTTACGGGCAATGCATTTTACTGATGAGTCAAGATTTGCCGGGCCAGATGACAAGCGTATAAGGATATGGCATAAACAAGAAACACGCAATCACCCCAAAAAATCCCCGAATATCAGCTTCCCCGAGGGGAAGCATTATGGTGGGGGCAGGAATTTCATTAGGATCCCACCCGCCCCGCACATCTTTAAACGGACTCTGGAGGCTGTCCGGTATCGGATAAGCCCTAGAACCTATTGTGGTTGTACGCTGCAGCAGTTTGCCCTCGAATGGACGATTCCCCGTCCCTATAGAGTTGACATCGTCGATGACATGGAGAGTGAAGGGTTCGCATAGGCGGGTCGCATATTCGCCCGACCTTAATCCCATTGAAAATTTTTTGGGATGCTTTCGGGTGTGTATTAGTTCCCCCCTCCAGCCCCCGATAGACAAAACTACTCTACAAGAAGAATGGCAATTGCTTAATTTTTGGGGTGGTTGACCACCATTGAAACATGGTCAGAAGGTTTTAAACTTTGCATACAGTGGGGGGGACAAACCTTTTAATGTCCTTTTTTCTTTTTATGCTTTTATTTTTTTTATACATAATTTGTTTAAGTCTCCTTTGGGACATTAAAAACACAAAAATTTAATATTGTTTTCATTTCTGTAAAAAAAATTTTTTTTTTTTTTATGTATAAATATATATGCTACTTTACTGCCAAATTTTGTGTCAATCAAAGCAGTATTTGTTGATTTTTGCTTTGCATTTTGTGGTTAATTTTTTGGAAGTGAGGTATTTAAAAAAATTAGTTCTACCCAAAAAACTGTCGCTACCCCCCCGTTGTTTACACCCCGAACCGTTTCAAAAAAAAAAAGAATATCCATTGTACCGTACGACACCGACAGAAAAGCACAATTAAATTTTTTTTTGATTTTTAAAAAAACAATTTTCCCCAAATTTTTTTAATACAGTGTTTTAAAACGAAAATTTCCTCAGAGCAAGGGGCCGTGATAGGGCCACCAAGGCTCGGTGCGCCGCAGGTTGAGTATCGCTGTCTTAGTTAATCATTAAAAATCAAACTTTTAAAAATTAAAAAAAATATAAAAAATTTATTAAATTTTTTTTATATTTAAAAAATTTTTTTGTCTTTATTGGGGGTAAATTTTATGGGGACTGATTTAAAAATCGTTTAAAATTTTTTGGGTTTTTGACATATTCTCCTTTAAACCCTAAACCCTCCCCCCCCTAAAAAAATTCAAAATTAAAACTGTAACTAAAAGGCCAAAAGATGAACACTAAAAGTGTTTGCCTCTTTTTATTATTGATACAATGCTACCTATACATTTATAAATCATTTCGTGGGGAGAGAGGTTAGGTTTCATAATTATGTCGTAATGTGTACATTACCATATATGGTATAACATAATTATGTTAATGTTTATTTTTTTTTTTTTTAAATATGTGATTTTAAGTGCAATAAAAACATAAGCTCCATAGAAATAAGTGATGTAAATTTTTTTAAAGACAATTATTACTTAGCTCAGCTAAGAATATTTTAGTTATTTTTTAATAAATAATTGCAATTAATATAAATATGTATATACATAAGACATAATCACGATATTAAGTAGCAAAATAGAGAAAGTGATTTTCCTTGCAATTTATTCTGATAAAATAGTATAGAAAAAAATTACATTCTCAGAAATTAAGCCATTCCAGGTGGAATTCGAACCCACTACCTTTGGAAATAAAAGTCCAACGCGCTATCCATTGCACTTCAGAGAGAGATAAAGAACGGTTTTCCTTTCTATACATTCCTTTCTATACTTTCTATACATCTAGTTGGACTATTATTTTTGTTTGTTACTATTGATTCATTTTTTTTTAATCTAATGAATGAATTAATATTTGAAAAAACTGTATTAACATCAAGTGTCATCCACTATAAATTTAAAAAATTGTATTTGAACTTGAGTGGGTGAATAAAAAGTATTTTATTACCAATTAAAAATCTGAACATGATATACATATATAGGGAGAGCGTGAACTAATAGTAGGAATTGGAAAATATATAAAAGCAATATTCCATATAATAAGTTTGATTAATACTTACCAGCTTATTTTGTATACCTAATAAGGATACTTTAATTATTCTTTAAAGTTACAAAGGTCATTTTAGTATCAAAATATCTTTTACTTTGTTTTTCTGAACATAAAATAATTTTATAATACGTATTTTTTATTTAAGTGCATTTCTTATAAAAATATTTATTGGATATACAAAATATTTTACAGACATGTATAAGACAATGGACCCAACATAATTAACCAGATTCTTAATGAAATAACTGCATATCTTTGAAAAAAGTCATAAAACTTTGAAATATTCATTTTTTTTCTTTTCCATTTAAATTTATTTCTTTTAAAAAAAATTAAACGTTATACAGAGAAAAGTATTCTCTGTTTCTTTCAAATCAAAAAAATGATGGTTTTCATACATTAAACATAAGAGGAACTCTACTTTTATAATGAAAGAGGCAGCCATTTGCTTACAATTTATCAGTTTTTTTTCATGTTTTACGATCATTTTATCGAATTATATGAAAAATTAAAACTTAAAATTTTCAAATGTAGGCAAGCTATTAAAAACTGTCCATAAAAATCATTAATAATGTAATATAAATGTATTCCTAATCAACCATTAAATCAGTTTTTTATGTAAACACTTATATTTCCTGCTGTGGAGTGACGAGTGGAACAGGGTACTCAGCACTCACTCTGGAAACTGTGCTTTAAATATAGTATTTAATGCAGTGCTTCTCATACTTTCAATATACGTGACCCACTATTCAATCATCATTTTCATCGCGCCCCCCTCCATACAATAACAATGTATTGAATTGAATAATACCATACTTTGACACTAAAGCTACAATACGACTTTAACCTCTTATGTATCACCGACGTCGTATATGAATGTCTCGCTCAGCCAAAGAATTTACTTTTTGTACGTATATATACGTCTTTCCAAAGAACGATCTTTTCTGTGCAGTGCGACCCATAAAATTATTCTGAGGGCTTTGGAATGCAATAAAAGGACCTTAACAGTGTTTGCGAAGAATTTACTTATTTCAGAGGATTTTTGCTTATTTATTTCTTTCCTCCTCCCCCGCAAAAAAACATCAAAATACGCTCGTCTACGTGGTAAACGATGGCATTGGGGAGCGAATTGCATAACTTTTAACAGACAGTTAAGGAATTAATTCTAAACCGTACAAATTATCAAGATAAGTTTTAATACAAGCCCATGGGGTCACTGATAATTATCAAACTTGTTCTTAACTTAGTTAACTTAAATTAATCTTAACTTAAATTCTTAAATTTTCTTAACTTAAATTAATAATAAAATATACATTGTACACAGTACTGATACATTTATGAGTGTATTATATCAGTGTAAATGTGTATTCTATATTTTATTATATCAGAAAGTATTTTGTTTGTTTACTTTCAGTAAATTAATAATTTTTAAATAACCTTTGTTTTCGACTTTTCAATATGCTCGCGCCCCCCTTGTAGAGTTATCACGCCCCCCAAGGGAGGCGCGCCCCACAGTTTGAGAAACACTGATTTAATGCACTAGCAAATGGTTCCACAATTTTAATTTTTGGCATTACTGGGGTTTGAGATAGATTCCCTCCTCAAATCCCGTCAGATTCCGTTTTTATTTCCCTCTTTTCTGACCCATTATTTTTAGTTAAAATAATTTGTTTTAGTGGCATAACACTTCAAAGTTTTTGGTATAGATTGTCATAAATATCAAAACCTTCTCTTGTATCAAAACCTTCTCTCTCAAAACCTTCTCTTCCGTGCCACCTTCCTGTTTGTCACATTCTATTTCATTAAAAAAAATTAATCGTGATTTTTATTTTCTTTTGTACTTCTAAAATAAATTTGTGTTCCTCTTTTGATGGGGAAAATAAGAAGAAGAAAATTAGAAAAAGGAAATTTTTTACTGACAACTCATATGAAAATCACTAGGACGTGCTGATGTCAAGAAGGTGCGGGGAGAATTTATCAGAGAAAAAAAAGCAGTAAAAAGTAATGCATTCGAAAAAGTCCTTGCAACGCAGGGCCATGCGGCTGGTTTTTAAAATAAAAGTCTTAATATATATCTATGCTTTTAAAATTTTAAAAAATCTTAGTTTGAATAGCATCCCAAGAAATTTTTAATTTATTTTCAAATAATTATAATTTCATAGCAGCATTTACTGCAAAAATTGTGGCAATTATAAGAAATTTAAGACAACAGAATTTATTACTAAGCTTCCACACAAATATCACAAAATTTAACAATTTTCAAAATTTATTTTCGATTATTCTGTGCTTATCTCATAACATATTCTTATACATTAACATACATTTATCGTATTTCATGTTTATTTTATTAACATAAAATGTGATACACCAAGATACATGCGATCAGCATATGTAATGCACATGTGTTGAAAACAAAACGCTGAAGGACAGGATATTAGGAATTGAATGTTTCATTCAACAAATAAAGCTACCAGAACAAAACAAAAAAATCTATAACGCATTGGCCTACCTTTGGACCTAATGCTAGCTTTCATCTCAATGGATTTTAATTTGCAAAGTTGAATGATATTTTATTATTGAATTAAGCTCCAATTTGCGAGTTACACGTTCCAATTTGCGAGATATATAGAAGTGATCCAGGGATGATTAAAGACGCGTGCTCATCAGAGCCCGTACGAGTTTTATTGGCAAAATATCAGGTAAACTAACAGGAGGAGACTAAGGTTCATTTGGGATCGAGACTTGGTGTAATAGTTTACTTTAGGGTGTTCACCCCATGTAATTCAGTCCGAATGGCCAGTCAATTCGGAGAAATCAGCTTCGAAATTCATGCTTAGCTTTATACGATTAAATTTTATTTTTTTCCCCAACGTGTTCGTAGCTTGATTGGTAAATCGTGTATATGCGTGAGGTCTGGGTTCAATTCCACGCGCGGTCAACTCTTTTTCTTCATTTAATTATTGTTTTAAAGTAAATAAATATATTTATGAAAGGTTTGTTAAATATTAAATGATATTTTACAAAAAAATTAGTTACAAATAGTTTTTATGAGAAATACAATATAATATAAATAAAATATTATATATAATATAAAATAATTTCTAAAATATATTATTATTATTAAATCAATTATTTTATAATTAATATAATAAAAATATGTCTTATTTATATATTATTAATTTAATTATTTTCATAATTTTATAAAATATTTAATAAGTCCTTTTCAAATAAATTTATTTAATTTCAAAAAGTTTATTTAAATAATTTTAATTAATTTATTTAAATAATTTCTATAATAAATTAATAATAATTTCAATAATAAATCATAAATTCAATAATAAACAATAATTTTAATTATAAATTAATAATTTTTCTTGTTAATACTAATGCTTAATAATTAATTAATTATAATAAATACTAAATGATTAATTAATTATAATAAATAGAGTATATTAAGTTAATTTTAAAAAATAATAATTAATTTATTAATTTTAATTATTAATAATTTTTATTAATAATTATTTTAAATATTTTTATTTAATAAATATTTTAAGTATTTTTAATTAGTAATAATTTTAAACATTTTTAATTATTAATATTTTTAAATATTTTAATTATTAATATTTTTAAATATTTTAATTAATAATATTTTTAAATAATTTTACTAATACATAATTTAAGTTCTATATTTTTATTTTTTTACTTTATAAAATACAAAATAATTACAAAAAATATCATTTTATATTCGATAAACCTTTCATAAATAAATTTATTTAATTTAAAAATATAATTAAATGAATTGAAGAAAAAAGTTGATTTCGTGGAATTGAACCCAGACCTCGCGCATAGTAAGCAGATGATTTGGCAATCAAGCTACGAACTCATTGCGAAAAATTAAAATTTAATTGTATAAAAGTTAAGCATGAATTTCGAAGGCTGATTTCTCCTAATTGACTGGCCATTCAACGGAATTACTTTGAGGGGTGAATACCCTAAAGGAGTACTACTATTACACCTAGCCTCGATCCCAAATGAATTTCCTTAGTCGTGCCCTCTCCTTGTAAGTTAGACATTATTGTATTGAAACAGAAGTACGGATTTTAATGAAAGGAAGGGTAATAGTACGGAAAGTAGAACAGGAATACAGTGGTTGAGTGGTTATATCCACAAACTCACTTCATGCGTTAGGGGTACGTGTCCTGTTAACACTGAAGTCATATCATGTAAAGCAGGGGTCTCTCTTCAAACTCCAGGACCTTGGAGTTCCGCGAGCCTTCCACAGGAATCCCACTAGCCAAAAGGAAAAATAAAAAAGAAAATTATACATGTGTATATGCAAAATTAAAAAGCGTTCTCTATGGAGTTCATATGACCACGAGTATCTAAAGAATATTAAAAACTTTATTTTCTTTTTTTGTACTCATAAGTGTAATTTTTTGCGAATATAAATAAATTTCTAATGAAAAATGCACCTGTTATTTTTCATTTGTGTGAAAAAACACCCATAGGAGAATATTTTCAGAAAAACACCTAACACCTGTAAGAAAATTTTTCTCAGAAAAAAAAAAAACTAAGCATGAATAAATTTGAATGCTACAATAAATTGGAATATGAACAAAAATCAAAGAAACAAAGGAAAATTTATTCAACAGATTTGATGTTACATTCGTAATTTAAGT